CTGCTAGCCGTCCAAACCACTAGCTGCACCACCTGGACCTCTGGTGTCTGGGTTGGTCGCTACATATATTCTTCTACTGTTTCTGTCCTAGACATCACCACCTGGTACGTCCACACTATCTGCGATGCTTTCATGTGTAGCAGGTGCGTATGCAGCAGCTGCTAGATCCGATCCGGCTGATACAGCTGTAGCAGCTGCCTTGTTTGTGGCAGCTGCTCTAGCTATAGGCGAATGCTCTACTAGCTGGTCGTGCATGACCCTATCAGTCTTGTCCCCTCTTGGCAATCGCCCCCTGTTGCCACATTAGCAAAAGAAAAAAATAATGAAAACATGAGCAAACAATATGAAAATACAAAGAAACAATCTACAAACCCAAACAAACGTTTCTTTAAGCCCGAGGAAACTGTATGAAAACCCGAAGGCAGATTAAAATATTTGAGAAATGAAAAACAACACATACAAATACACACACACGTACACATACACACACACACACGCATACATATATACACACACACACAAACATACACACACCAACATACACACATACATACATACACCAACATACACACACGCACGCATACACACACACATATACATACACACGCATACACATACACGCATACAACACAAACACACATACACACACACACGCGCGCACACTCACACACACACATACACACACACCACACACGCGCGCGCGCGCACACATACATACACACACACAGACACAGACACACAAACACACACACACACACACACACACTTTCTGGCGAATTTTTCCGCTCGCCGAGTCATCTCGGGATTCGGTTTTTCAACCGAAATCCCGAGCACCCTCCGACTGTTATCATAGCACGACCGATATTTTGGTCGTGCTGCACAGTGCGGTCGCGTCAGCGATCGTGCGCACTGTACAGCGCGAACATGCGGTGTCCTGCGCGTGGGCAGGGCGATCATTCGCCCTGTCTTGTTGCGATCGTGGACCCTACCACGCTCGCAACAGTGCGAGGGCACACGTTCGGGCCTGAGGGCCCACACGCACGACCATGACCCCACGCGCGGTTGACCTTGACCATCGCGAGAAATATCCAGGGTCAAAAATTGACCCCTCACGAACACTCACGTCATTTCATGAACACACATGAAAAACAGAAAAACAGAAAACAAACATGAACGCTCACGAGCATTCATGAATAACACACGAAACTCACGGAAATTCACGCGCATTCACGACAGTTCCCAAAACACCACAAATGCACGAGAAGTCTCGCATTCACACACGAACTTTTACAAACACTTACGAACACAACCTTTCACGAAAACTCACATAACTCATGAACCGTTAAGGCGATTCACGAACCGTTAACACAGAAATGCAAAGCACATAAATGCGCAACTCACACACAAGAAATTACCTTCAGAGGAAACACCTTACTTTCACTCAACGTCCGCGAGTAGGTGGTAGGTTGTCGTGCAAACCGTGTACTGCACTTAACATGTAGTTGCAGCTAAAGGCTTAAACTCTATGACGATGATTTATACGATCAAGTATTGAAATGCCGTAACCAGCTCCACTGTTTGTACGTTCACTGTCATGTGTTCTAACAAGATAAGCTTATTCTTCACATTCCATGTTCCTGTGGCTGATCGTAAGTGTGATTTCCAGAATCCGCTGTTTTTGTAGTGACGCGTAGAGCTGGTTAATCAAGCTGCAATTATTTACTGATGACGTATTGTCATGTTTATATTTTTTTTATGCAAATATTTGGTTGTACATGTGTATTTGATATATGAATAAAGCCAAATTGCGTTAACGAACCGCATGTCCAGTACAACGAATCCCGAAACGCCTAGTCCCGAGCCGCTCTCAAACGGAATTGGTCCGTGATGCGTCCCCAATGTATGCTGAATGTGTCCCACAAATGTCCCTCAAGAGTCTTTGGGGCACGTGTCAAAAAGTATTTCAGGCCAAATTTGGGTCTCCCGAAACTGTACCATAGTTTGTTCCCGAAAGACTTTTTGGGGACGGGGGTGAAATCTGTCCCCAAAGTCTCATGCGGGATGGATTTGGGAGTTGGGATTTTTTAGATGACCTCTGAGATACAAAACCTGAAGTCAGGCTGGTGCGGTGACCGGCGTGCTGTGTTTTGGGTGCACGCCAACGGGCTATTCTCGGAGTTGTACTGCCGTGTGTAGGCGGAGGGCTCAAGCGTGAACGCGGCAGGGGAGTGTCAACGGGAGTTGGGTGTGGCCCCGTCCTCGCTTGGGCGGAGCCGACCTTGTGGCCGGGTGTACAGGGGAGTGCAGCCAACCGACAGCAGTGGGCGAGCTGGTCGATGAGTAGGTCGACCTGCACGGGGACCATTGCGACGGGCGCCGACTTCAGGGCGCCTAGTTTGGGGTGGTCGACCAGGAGGTCGATCGAACCTGGTGGTCGATGAAGGAGGGGCCGTCGTCGACCTCGACAGGAAGACTGGGGACGTCGACCTGGAGGGCGTCGAGTGGGAGGACGCATAGAGCGTCGAACAACAGGGCGCCGAGGCAGAGTGCGCCGAACATTTGCGACGCCGGACTTGTGCAGCCGACGACCGACTGAGCTGGTTGACCAAGCGTGGTTTCCCGGTCGACCGGGATACCCGGGCGACGTGTGCGAAGGTCATCGGGGTGGCTTCTGCAAGGCCGACCTCGGGGGTGGTATCTCGAGGTCGACGTGGCTGGTGGGCGCAGTCGCTGGCGTGGAGTCGACCTGGGCGTCTGCGCAGTGCACATGATGAGGAAGAGTGCACCAACCAGCTGCACGCACCTGCGAAGCAGGTGCATCGTTGTCCTGCGGGTGCAACGCAGTGCAACCGACAGGCTGCAGCGTTGGCACACCGGGGACTTGCAATGTTGGCAAGCCGTGACTTTGCTCTGCTGGAGCGAGGTCGACCAATTCGTGCTGGCGCGCGGTCGACTGTGCTGCGCTGAAGGTCGACCAGCAGCCTAGCTAGCTCTGATGTAGCCTGTGTTGCCAATGTTGTTGCTATCATTGTTGTCAACTTTCCTTAGTGAAACTCTTGCCAAATTGCCCCGTGAACTAGCAAGCAGTGTGTGCACTAGGAAAATGACTAAGGAACGCAGAGATCACTCTTGCCCTATGCCTAGCCCGCAGCCTAGCTCCCGTTGTACTAGTTATCTCCGCAGAAGCAACGTGGCAGTGGCAGGGGTTGATGGAATTGCATACAGGAAGGGAGGTTTGGCACCAGCAGCAGGGAAGCCTGAGGGTGTAACAGTGCATGGCGTGGCTTTCAGGAGTAATTCGCCCTCGACAGATTCTCAAGGGAATACCTCTCCAACTACCCTCACAACCAGCCAGTCTCCCAACTCCTCCTGCGCAATGCCTGTCGGTGTGCAGAGTAGCGGTGCAGCAAGCCAAGCAGCAAGTCTGGTTGCAGCAATGAATTTTGATTCGATTCAAAAGCCAACAGAGGATGGAACGGCCCCAATATACCCGAGCCAGCAGAGGATGGAACGGCCCCAATAGTACCCAAGGCAACAAGAACTGGAGGTGTGGTGGGAGAGGCAGTAGCAGAAATGGCATCTTTATTAATGAAGGTAGCAGAGGCAGGAGCAGAAGCAGGAGCTAGAAACCTCTTTGCACATCCAGGTCCCGCCTCCCCTCTCCTAAATCCGCCAGCTTGCACTCTGGAATCTCCCCTGCCCACCCTCTCCTATCCAGTGCTGATAGTCAAGCAGCAGTGCAGCAAGGGCTATTACACCAGCAGCAGCAAAGCAGCAGCGCCGCATTGCAGCAAGGGTTATTGCCCCTTCTGCAGCAACTCATGACGCAAGCACTGGAGCTAGAGTTGCTGTTCCAGCAGCAGCAAATCAGAAAACCATCAGTGCAGCAAGGGCTATTGCTCCAGCAGCAGCAAAGCAGCAGCGCTGCAGTGCAGCAAGGGTTACTGCTCCAACTGAAGCAACTCAGCATGCAAGCATCGCACCTAGAGTCACTGTTCCAGCAGCAGCAAAGCAGCAGACCATCAACGCAGCAAGGATTATTGCTCCAGCAGCAGCAGCAGCTGTTGGTGCAACCCTACGGTTTGCACTCGGCTTGTTGTCCGTGTGCGTGCATGTGTGTGTGTATGGAATGGTATGAGGGCATGGGATAATATATATTTCATGCTTATAATTGTGTGTGAATGTCGAGTCATGATGTCGAGTGTGTGTGTTGAGTCAATAGCGAGTTATCGCTAGACGCGTGTTATGCGGTCGTTTGTGTCTCGCGCGCGGTTTCTATTTTGTCGTGCGCGGTTTCTATTTTGTCCTGTATCGAACGTTCGGCGTGTCGCAGGTGTGTGCAGCAGACCCATCAAGAACTCAAGGATGAGTTTGTGATGAAGAGCCCGAGCCTTGGTGTCAAGCCTCAAGTGATTTCGAAGCTCGCCAAAAGGGTACACCTCAAGATATTGAAGATAGTTACATTACTTTGTGTAGTGTAACATTTCACTTGGTGTAGGCCCTAGTGAAGGATAGTTTCGAGACCCTTCGTGGTTGGGGACAGTTTGGCACTGTTCCACATCACTGTAACCTCGGCTCTTGGGGTTTGTAGGAGCTGGGAGTCATTCCCAACTCGTAACTCTTCCTATCTTGTGTTCTAAGACTATAGTGGCTGCCATAGTGCCGTTCGTTCAAACTGACGTTGTGTCGTCAATACTTGGTGAAATTGTGCGATCTAAATTGCCTATTGTAGGCGACAATAAGACGCTCCAGATCCAAGTTGAATCAAGTCATTTGAAGCTGTGACCAGAACGCTATGAACGTTTGAAGCCGTTGTGCAGAAATCCGGCTGTGCACTCTATCTTTCGTTTTAGGCACATTGGAGCCTACTGTGACTATAACAAGTGGTATCAGAGCCCCTTGGAGCAGTTTCGACAATTTCTGGACCTGAGGAAAGGGATGGCAGAGGTGCTGGTGGCAGTGGAGAAGCCCAAGCTCAAGGCCAACCCCGTGACTCAGCCATGGCGCCCGTGCAACCAAGTGTTGGCCCATCTAGGGACGAGCCTAGAGTGTTTGGCCTTGACAAGTTCAACGGTGACAACTTTGCTGAGTGGTCCTTCAGAATGGAGAACGTGTTTGATCACTATGACTTGCTGGAGGTGATGGAAGGAACGGAGAAGCGCCCCGAGAACGACCCGGAGAAGAGCCCGTGGGTGCGGAAGAGCGCACAAGGCTACCTCCTACTAGGGCAAGCGTTGGGGGAGCAGCCAGATCCGTCACATCAAGCCTTTCCAGCGTGAACCAGAGAAGGGACCAAAGGCATGGGCTGCTCTCAAGGGTGTTCACGCTCCTGCAACAGCGGCGGTAGCTGTGGTGTTGGAACGGCAAATGGCGACACTACGAATTGAAGAGGATGAAGCGGTTGAAGAAGGGGTGCAGAAATTCTTCGACTTGTTGACGCGGCTTGAGGGAGCTGATTTGAACTATAGTGAGCTCCAAAAGAAGACCAAGTTGCTGGCCCTACTCCCTGAGTCATGGTCCTCGCTCATCATCAACCTCAATCGGGACTTGCCCCGCCTCTCGCTTGAAGACGTGAAGCAAGCTATCCTTCAAGAGGATTTCCGCCGCGGTGAGTTGGCGAGTGCGGATGGCGCTGGGGCAGCGAGCATCGGCCGTGGATATGGTCGAGGAAGAGGCAGAGGACAAGGGGGAGGAAGGTTTGGTGGCAGCAACTTCGGCGGAGGCCCCGGGAGTGGCGGTTACGGCAGCGACGACAAGAGCTACGGACGCGGTCGCGGCCGATTCGACGGCGAGTGTCACTATTGCCACAAGAGCGGACACATGTGGCGCGACTGCTACAAACTCCCTGATGGTTGGACCCCTGCTCAAGGCCAAGAGGGTAGAGGAGCAGGAGGAGGGAGAGGACGAGGCCGTGGAGGCCGTGGCGGTCGCGGGTGGCGGAGCTGCAAACATGAAGAGCGGAGACAACGACAAGGACCCGAGCGACGATCGATACCCGGGTCTATTCTACTTCGTGTCGACGCAATTACCCGGCTGGTCCAGAGAAGGATGAAGGCTTTGAGGAGCCAGCAGCTGTGGGGAAGGTGACCCTACACCCCCTGGACTATTGGGTGATTGATAGTGGCGCTACCTATAGCATGACACCTCGCCCGGACTTGCTCACCGAACTCGAGCCGTCACCGGTGAAGCATGTCACATCGGCTTTGGGGCAGCGAGCAGGAGGTGAAAGGCATGGGGAAGGCCATGTTCAAGGGTGCTGATGGGAAGATGGTGGGCCTCAAGAACGTGCTTTGGGTGCCCAGCCTTGCTGCAAACCTGATTTCCGTGCGGCGGTTGGCAAAGGCCGGCATGGACACGAACTCGAAGGGAGCCAAGACCTACACCGCAAGGCTTGGCGATCGAATTCTTTGGGACCTTCATGAGGACAGGGATGTCTACAACGAGATGTGGCAGATCCCAGTGGTCCCTATGCCTAAGGAGAGGCAAGTGGCAGCAAGCATCAGCACAAAGGATGGAGCGGTCGGTAGCGACGATGGCGCGAACGGTCGCGCTAAGGAGAATGAGCTCAAGAAGAGCAAACCTGGAGGGACCAGCAAGTTCAGTGAACCTAAGGAGAGTGGTGCAGCAACCAAGGAGCAGCAAAAGGGTGAGGAGAACCCCGAGGCAGCAGCGGAGGAGGACTACGGAGAGAGTATGTGGGGCGCTGTTGCGAGCGCGGCATTCTCCAATCCAACTTCGGCTACGGGGGAGTGTGATTGGCTCACCTTGCATCGGCGCATGGGGCATGTGGCCCTGCCCATCTTGCAGCAGCTAGTGAAGAATGAGATGGTTGCTGGCATACGTGTGAAGGGGGAGCCCGATGAGGTGCTTGGCTGCCCGACGTGCATTCAAGCCAAGTTCACCCGGTTTCCGTTCCCTAGTTCGGAGGCAACGGCAAAGGCACCGCTTGATGAGGTGGTGATGGACGTGGTGGGCCCCCTGAAGCTTGGAGCTGCTGGAGCTGAGTATTTTCTCACCATTGTCCGACGTCTACACCCGCATGACTTGGGTGTATGTGCTGGCCAAGAAGAGCGACGTGGCTGAAACGTTGAAGACGGATTGGTTCCCGATGGTGGAGCGGCAACAAGACCGTCTAGTCAAGTCAATCCGCACCGATCGAAGGGGAGAGTTCCTAAGCAAGGAGTTTGGGTTGTGGCTGAAGAAGAATGGTATTCGGCACTCCCTCACCATGCCATACTCCCCTGCAATGAACGGCATCGCCGAGCGAGCGAACCGCACAATCACGGAGGCGGCACGCGGGTTGCTCATTGAAGCCGGGCTACCCGACTATTTCTGGCCTGATGCGGTGCGGAGCGCGTGTGTGGCCAAGAACAGAGCCTTGACTCATGTGGGAGCAGACAAATGGGTGCCCTATGTGGAGTGGCTAGGAAGGAAGCCAAAGGTGGATATGCTTCGGGTGTTCGGGTGCATGTGCATGGCGCTCGTGCCTAAGCATCTTCGGCACAACAAGCTTGGTGCCAAGGCGGTGTGGGCCGTGCACTTGGGCATGGCTCAAAACAGCAAGGGATGACTTCTTTGGGACCCATTCACCAAGAAGTTCTTGGTGAGCAGGGACTGCAAGTTCATGGAGAACTTCATGTACAAGGATTGGGAGGCGGAGAATGAGGCGAAGATAGGCGTGCGGTTTGGGGAGGTGAAGAGTTCCGGTTTGGAGCATGTGGAGCTGCCTTTGGAGCTGAGCAGCGGCAGCACAACCACAAGGCAATCCTCCCTTGTGAATGGGGGAGAGGAGGCCAATGATGCAGAGGAAGAAGAGGAGGAGGTGCAGCAAGTGAGCGAGCGTGCACCGTCACTCCCTTCCCGTACTACGAGTGCTCCACGGATTCGAGCCACACCGCAGCAACGCCAAGGCCTTCAAGTCCCTGCAGCTGAGGAGGAAGGAAGGGGGAAGATGAGAGTTCAACCCCCTAATAGGCTGACCTATGATGCGCCGGGAAAGCAGGGCAAGACAGCCCTGGCCGGAGTGGCAATGATGGTCGGAGACGACGAGGAGAGTGACTACGAGGAGTGTGCCTTCGCGTTCTTCTCTCCGGTGGAGATGCCGGGAGAACCAGCAACTCTCAAGGAGGCTTTGGAGAGTAGTGATGCTGAGGAGTGGAAGAAGGCCATGGAGAGTGAGCTGAAGAGCATCGAGGAGAATGACACGTTTGAATTGGTGGAGCTACCGGAGGGGCGTACGGCGATAACGTCCAAGTGGCTCTTCAAAATCAAGTCGGATGCCGACGGCAAGATCGAGCGCTACAAGTCTAGGCTTGTAGCCAAGGGGTACCAGCAGAAGGAGAAGGTGGACTTCAAGGAGCTGTTTGCCCCTGTGGTGAAGCCGACGACGCTGCGAACCCTATTCGCGGGAGCCGCCATCAAAGGATGGGCAGTAAAGCAAATGGACATCGTAACGGCATTCCTTAACGGCATCCTTGAGGAGGAGATTTTTATGGCGCAGCCAGAGGGGTTTGATGATGGTAGTGGCAGAGTGTGGAAGCTGAAGAAGGCCCTCTATGGGCTGAAGCAGGCCCCTAGGCAATGGTACATGAAGCTGCGCGAAGTGTTGGAGGGGATCGGCTTCACTCCCTCAACGGCCGATCACTCCTTGTTCATGCTTGGCGAGGGGGAGCAGAGGAGCTTCATCGTGGTGTACGTGGACGACATCCTGATCTTCTCACCCTCTCCTGACCTTGTGAAGGAGGTGATGCTGAAGCTGCAAGACAAGTTCAAGTGCAAGTCCCTTGGTGACGTGAACTTCTACCTTGGGCTCCACATCGAACGAGACGTGGAGAAGCGGAGCATGCGAGTGCACCAACGGAAGTACCTGGAGGCGTTGGCTGCCAACTTCGGCCAGAGTGAAGGTCATGTGGCTACTCCCTTTCCCTCTGGGTTCAAGTGTGTGAAGGGGCCAGAGGAGGAGAGCGTTGGAGAAGAGGAGAGGCGCCGATTTCACTCGTTGGTGGGGCAGCCTCATGTATGCGGCGGTAAACACCCGACCGGACGTCGCGTTTGCTACCGGGCAGCTGGCTAGGGTTGTGCAATGCCCTAATGAGGAGCAGATAGCAGCTGGAATGAGGGTGGCCAAGTATCTTGGCCAAACACCGACCGTTGGGCTGCAATACTCGGCGGCGGCACAAAGGCGCCAAAAGGGCGCGGATGGTGTTGAACCCGGGCGTTTGTTCCTCACCGCCTACTCGGATGCTTCATATGCATCAGAACCAGAGGACATGACAAGTGTGGGAGGCTTCATATGCTGTGTTGGTGGAGGCCCAACTGCTTGGGAGAGCAAGAAGCAGGTTGACCAAGCTTTGAGCTCGGTGGAGTCCGAGTACATGGCACTCTTCCGTGCCGTACGGGAGATTGTGTGGCAGCGGCGTTTGTTGGCTGAATTGGGGGAGGAGCAGCAAGGACCTACCCCACTGTACTGTGACAGCCAGGGTGCCATTGCTCTTGCTAAGAACCCTGTGTTGCATGGACTCACGAAGCACATGAGGGTGAAGTGGCATTGGACGAGGAGCATGGTAACCGCGGGTGAAGTTGAGTTGCGCTACGTGAAGACCACGGGGCAGCCGGCTGACATGATGACCAAGAGGCTGGTGGAGCAGCAGCATTGGAAGTGTTGCAAGCTGGCTGGGATGGCTCTGAACTGAGAGAGCAACATATCCTAAGGCCAACAATCCGAGGGTGAGTTTGTTGGTGCAACCCTACGGTTTGCACTCGGCTTGTTGTCCGTGTGCGTGCATGTGTGTGTGTATGGAATGGTATGAGGGCATGGAATAATATATATTTCATGCTTATAATTGTGTGTGAATGTCGAGTCATGATGTCGAGTGTGTGTGTTGAGTCAATAGCGAGTTATCGCTAGACGCGTGTTACGCGGTCGTTTGTGTCTCGCGCGCGGTTTCTATTTTGTCGTGCGCGGTTTCTATTTTGTCCTGTATCGAACGTTCGGCGTGTCGCAGGTGTGTGCAGCAGACCCATCAAGAACTCAAGGATGAGTTTGTGATGAAGAGCCCGAGCCTTGGTGTCAAGCCTCAAGTGATTTCGAAGCTCGCCAAAAGGGTACACCTCAAGATATTGAAGATAGTTACATTACTTTGTGTAGTGTAACATTTCACTTGGTGTAGGCCCTAGTGAAGGGTAGTTTCGAGACCCTTCGTGGTTGGGGACAGTGTGGCACTGTTCCACATCACTGTACCTCGGCTCTTGGGGTTTGTAGGAGCTGGGAGTCATTCCCAACTCGTAACTCTTCCTATCTTGTGTTCTAAGACTATAGTGGCTGCCATAGTGCCGTTCGTTCAAACTGACGTTGTGTCGTCAATACTTGGTGAAATCGTGCGATCTAAATTGCCTATTGTAGGCGACAATAAGACGCTCCAGATCCAAGTTGAATCAAGTCATTTGAAGCTGTGACCAGAACGCTATGAACGTTTGAAGCCGCTGTGCAGAAATCCGGCTGTGCACTCTATCTTTCGTTTTAGGCACATTGGAGCCTACTGTGACTATAACAGCAGCAGCAGCAGCAGCAGCAGCACATCAGACGAGTGGTACAGCAACAGCTGTTGATCCAGCAGCAGCTAAGCAGCAGTCCAGCAGTGCAGCAAGAAGTATTGCTCCAGCAGCAGCATCGCAACATCGCGGCAGTGGAGTAAGGCCCAGCGCAAGCGCTCTATAACGAGCCATCCTTCACGCAGCATCAGTTTGAAGAAAAGCCACCCAGAAGCAGCGTCGATGGTGGCGGTGCAGGAGAAAGGGGAGATAGAGAGCAGGTGGAGAGGGTGAATGACGGTTGGGAGGGCATGAAGAGAAATATTGAATGGCTAGTGGTGGGTACAGGAGACGCTCCAAGTTGAAAAGAGCCAGATCCTTCTGGGGCATGGCAGATTGTGCAGAGGGCGATGCGCATTGGGGAGGAGCACATGGCAGCATCAGAAAGAGTGACAGTACCACCTCCATCAGCTGCTACTTCTCTGGTAGCAGCCAGATCACTCCAATCCCTCCCCCTCTCCCACACCCCAACCGGAACTCCTGTCCAAAATCCCTTTCTCCCACTCATGGGAGCACCGAATCAATGAGCTGGCTACACGGCTATCTCTCAGCAACAGCAGAACCACAGCGCACGCCAACAGGGCTGTTACCAGCAGGTGATTGCGGGCCCTGCCTCTTCTTGGTCTGCTCCTCTGCACCGGCTCGACCCTTCTACTTCTTCTTCCATCGCTGCATCCTCCTCTGGTGCCCCTCAGCCTCTTCAATTTCAAACTCCAGCAACCCTTCCAAGACACACCGCCGCTGCTGCTGCTCCTCCAACTCCTGCCATTGCCGTTTCTGCTGCTGCTGGTACTAGTTTTACTCCAGGCGGTGCTGCTGGGTCTTCTGAGCTAGGTGACAGAGCAGCAGGTCACTGGATTCGGCATGAGGATATGCATAAACTGGCTGATCTTCTCAGGTCCCTCCTTGGAAGTTAAGTCAACGCCACTGCAGGAGCAGCAGCTACTAGACCTTCTCCCAGTGCTGCTCCTGTTTCTGCTTCCGGTGGTTCTGCTATGGCTCCTGCTCCTTCTGCTACTTATGCAGCTGTAGTACACCTGACTCAGGTTCAATGGATAGCGTCGACATATGATGTTAGGAGTAGTGTCCTTCATATTTGCAAAAAGCAGCTCCCCTTACCCTAAGAAACCCAAAAGAAGCCATGGGAGTAGATGAAAAGAAACAAACAGAAAAACCTACTAAGGACGCACTTAACATTCCATTCATTTCTAACAGTAAAAACTACATTCAAGCTGTTAGTATTTCCTATGCTCATCACGACCCCATTCATTACGTTTACTTGCACTCGTATGTGACACAAATATTTCAATTATGTGGAAAGGCCTCTCCATATGGAGAACCAAGAGAGCCTACGCAAAGGACGAACTACCGTTATATAGAGAATATATGCACATGCCTATGATTTGCGCATTTGGCGGTAAGGGGTTTATTGCACCAATGACAAGATCTACAGTTTGGTGTATCAATAATATGCCATTACGTTTTGCCCATAATGTTGTTAGATTACAGCCAAAGCAGCGATTTTTTCTATCTTATAATAAGGGAACCTGGTTCCATATCTGGGGAATGATGGAACACAAGTTTTAGCACTTGAGGGAGATGGAAGAAAAACAACCCTATCTTCAGATGTCAACTCTAATTGTTTCTCCTTGGCTAGAGATGCCACCACCACTCTATGTACACAACAGCCCCCAGATAGACAAAGACTCATGAAACACATGCTCTTAGCAAGACTCAGCATTCCTCTTCACGAATCCTTTTGGGGGATAGCATCATCCTTTCACTGCCCTCGCCGCTGCACAATCCCAGATTTCCCCATTGTAATTCCCTCGACACATTGACAATCATGCCTGCAGCAGCTGCCTCTGTATCCCCTGCTGCTACCCGCTCCGACCGATTTGTCTCCTGCTTCTGCTGCTTTTTCCGCCCGTGTCTGAGCCACTGACACACTCCCCGGAGCTGGGAAAAATGATCCAGGCTGCAACAGAACGCCTTGGCCCTTTGACCGCATGCCCTCACTGCTACTGGTGGTGTTGGCAGTATGATAAGCAGTCATTACCGCATCAAGCCCGTCCTTTGGTGCAAATGAGCCTTCAGACCCACCATGCATTGTCGTAAACAGGGAAGGTCCCAGTGCTTTGAATGGTGCCAGTTCCTCAGGGCGGTTGGCTGATGGGAATACCACTGCCAGTGGGTTGGATGACGCCCACGGTGTTGCTATTGGGAAGCTGCTTGATAACCCTCACCATGCTGCTGCTGATCATGCCCAATTCTCCCTCCCCATTCAGTAAAAGTGCCTCCATATTTGGTAGCTCCTCCAGCCCATCGAGTGATGTCAGCAGGTCCACTCCTTCTCTCGCTGCTGCAGCTACCCCTGCTGCTGCAACTCCATCCCCTACTGCCATCACACCTGCACCAGTTGGTTTTGCCCCAGTTAATGTAACTTTCAAAGGAGCAGCTGCCATCCCTGAACTAGCTGTTGCTACCCCTGCTGCTGCTTCCCCTGCTGTTGCTACCCCTGCTGCTGCTACCCCTGCTGCTGCTACCCCTGCTGTTGCTACCCCTGCTGTTGCTACCCCTGCTGTTGCCACCCCTGCTGTTGCTACCCCTGCTGTTGCTACCCCTGCTGTTGCTACCCCTGCTGCTGCTATCCCTCCTGAAAATTTCACTTGTCTGTGATCCATTTCAGAGCCCTGTGCTCCTTCACACCCCCTGGTGGGTCGGAAAATCTTCTCCAAGCCACCGACCCTGCCATCCCCTCCTCCTACTTTCCCCTCTCCTTCCTCCCCCCTTACAGCAACATCTAGCCCACCGTTCTCCCACACATTGGTATACAGCAGAGAATCACATGAGTCTCCCACACATAACCTCCCTTGCCCTTCCTGTCCGTCCAACGCCCCTTGCAACAACTTAGGGTGGTCATACTCTGGGCCGTGGGAGGCACGACGGGGTGTTTCAAGCTGGTTAACGTCTTGACTGGGGGTGTGAAGTGGTAGAGGGGCAGCAGGGCACGACACGCTTCTCTGGCACGGGGAAGCTCTCTGCTGCTGAGGCAGGTCCTGCTGAAGCATCTGATGCTGGTGGTATTGGCCATGCTGCTGCTGCTGCTGCTGGCACTGTTGGTCCTGGTACTCAAATTTCACTGTGTGCTGTGCTTTGTGCCTTTTCCCCTGCTGGGCTCCTGTCGAGGTTGATACCGCCACATGTGGGGGCACCACAACCGGATATACGGGTACTTCAGCTACGTATGGGGTTGCTACAACAGGAGCGACAGTGAGACAAGTCCTGGTTGCAGCATCTGCGGTAGTGGCGACCTGATTTCCTAAGAGATATCTGAGAAGATCCGCCAGTAGGTGCATATCCTTCTGACGGATCCCTTCACCTGCTGCTCTGTTGCCCACCTCATCTGAGCCAGCACTACCAGTTGGGTGCTCCTCCCCTGTGCACATACCGACTTGCAGCGTCGGCCATACTCCGACAGGCTCCACCTTTGGTTCAACTTCAATGTGAGCATCGCTGGTGCCCATTGCAACAGCAGTCACATCCCTGCTGCGGTTGTGGAGTCCAGTAACGCTTCTCTGCCATGGCAGACCAGAACGAAGTTCTTGCTGCTGAAGGATCTGATGCTGGTGGTATTGGCCATGATGCTGCTGCTGCTGCTGCTGCACCAGCCCTTGCTGCACTGCTGCATGGCTGATTCGCTGTTGGTAGAGCAATAGCCCTTGCTGCACCAAACCTTGCTGCAGTGCTGCGCTGCTGCTTTGCTGCTGCTGGGGCAATAACCCTTGCCGCACTGCTCCTTTACTGTGTTGCTGCTCCTGGAGAAATAACCCTGGATGCACTAGCTGACTGTCGCTGCCAGCACTGGGTAGGAGAAATGGGGCAGGAGAGAGGCCAGAGTGCGAGCTGAACGGATAGGGGAGAGGGGAGGCGAGACCTAGATGTGCAGAGAGGTTACCAGCTCCCCTTGCTGCTCCCACGGCTGCTCCCACTGCTCCTCCTGTTCCCGCTACCTCCATCACTACTGGTGCTTCTGCGGCTCCCGCTGCTTCTCCTGTTGCCGCTACCACCGGAGCTATTGCTGCCTTTTCCTCCTCCGCCG